GTCGAATGCTCAGCGACCTGGAGGGGGCGGGGTGTGAAATTTCTCACTTGAATTTAAAGAGACCGCCCCAAAACAGCTTGCTCTGAGACGCAGCTCAGAACAGGGGTAAAAGCAAGGAAAGCAAGGAGTCTGTGGAGCAACAAAAACGAGGAATTAAGACCAAAGTGGTGCAGTTTTATTTTAAATAGACCATAAGTGAATGATTTAGATGTGAAAAAGAAGGATTTAAAAGCATGATATAATACCTTTAAGTCTAATGTTACAACTAATCGGGGATCCCTTTAAGAGATAAATAAAAACAAGATTTAAAAAAATGTTCATCTCTTTTTTTAAACAACAAAGTGTTTGTCGCATGTATAAAATCACTTCAAAAACCAAAAAAGCTTCTTTTTTTTAACTTACACTTTACATGAACTTCTAACTACATTAAAAGCCAGTTTTACTGTTGGAACAGAGATGTTTTTCTGTTTCGTGTCGAGCAGACGAAACCTCGAGGTGTTTTTAGACAGGAAGGAGAGAAGAACAAAGAGAGGAAGKAACAGAGGAGAGAGTGACAAACAGGGAATCCAGCAACAAAGACACGAAACCTGCTCTGGTTGAAAATACAACAGATCAGAAGCAAACATCAAGACTAAACAAATCTGATTTTTGTCCTTTTTTCCCCCCTAATGTTGAGCTGATTGAACGTGAAGAGACTAAATTTGACTCGGAGGCACATCTGAACATCCACCTTTCTCCTCTGTTTCATGTTTTGATTCTCCAGGCGGCACATTTCCCCTCAGAGTTGGCGTGTTGCATTATTCAACAAATGATGTATTTTTTTTATTCCTGATCTCTTTTCTGTTCAGCGGGGCACCTTTAAGTTTGTGTTTTTTTCTAAATTTCCTCATGTTTCTCGTGCTTAATTCTTTTTTATTTTTATTTTTTTACGTTTCCCTCAGTTCTTTTAGTACAGGAAAGAATCAAGATGTTTCGTCTTCCTGCTCTGTTTTGTTAAACACTTGTGCGTATTTTTTTGACAATCGACAAATAKAAGTACGGACTTTTGTATTTTATTGAACTGTACATAATTTTACGAATGTGCTGAATGTACCTGTAAGTTATGTGGTATTTTTTACGAAGAAGTATTTTTTGTTCAGTTTCTGTTCATCTTCACACGTCTCCTCTTCCTCAAACTCTCAGTAGAGTTGTGTCCTCTGCTTGTGTGTCCATTAGGAACTTTACTATCCGTTTCATGCCCATCCCTATCATCGATGCCTCCCAGGCTCTGAAGGCGAGCCCTGAGAAAACAGAAGATGCTCTGCTAAAGGTAGAAAAAGAAACTCACCCAGTGGTTCTTGAAATCTCCATCTAGGTGTGCTGTTTAAAATAAATTAAAATATTAAACATCGGGGAGTTTTATCCTGGCATTTGCTTCACTTTTTTTTCTTTTTAGATTGAGCATTATTTATACAGGAACCATGAGACGAGGAAGTACCTACAGGAGCAGGCTTATCGGCTTCAGCAGGGCATTGTTACCACCACCACGCAGCAGGTGAGGACACACACAGCTGCGTGTTCTCCACTGACACCAGATTTATTTTAGGCTCTATAAAAACTATAAGTCTTAAATAAGACTCCACGATATTATAAATACTGTAACTGTGGTGTGTGTTATGCAGTAATTTTCAACAGATGACTTGAATAAGTTATGCTGCCTCAGTGTCCATCTTAGTTTCTGTTTCCATCACGTTTTACTATTAGCATTCATGCTAACTGTATTTTTACCTCTTTTCCTCCTGTTCTCTTTAAATTTGCTCATCTTCCTCGTTTTCATCAAGATCCTCGTCGTCTTCCTCCGCAGCACATAAATTCACTGACAACACTTCTCTGGTAAACGGTGCCATTATTGTCCCAGAGGTTTCACAACAAAATGAAAGTTTTAGCCTTTTTTTGACGCGACGATGCCCGCTTTCACCGGTGGAAGTAACCCGTCAAAATAAAAGCGGTTCTCATCATTTTGGGACTRGGAACCCCTAAGTAAGGAGGAAACTTCCCAGGGACTCCCTCGCGAACCTCATGCTGATTGAAAATACTTTACTTATAACCTTTAAATGCCATGGGAACAATAAATTTTTTTATTGGTGCATTGCTCCCCATATGTATTTCACTTTTTTAAATATGACAAAATTAACAATTTATTATAAGTTTTTTAGGAGCCCAAAGCTACAACTCATGGTTCGGGAATTTATTCCCTAGACAACACGTTGATTTATTTGCCTCCTACATCTCAGGACCTGCAACGTGACACGTTCATTGCCATGAATATGCTCAAATGATGTTTCAAGCAGCTCTGCTTTTAAATGTAAAGTTGAAAAAGGAAAAGCAAACRCTGTGACCTGATTATTATCCCTTGAGTTCATGATGTGCAGTGAGTAACCAGGGTCTCACCTGTTGCTTTTGTCTTCCAGGTGATCGACCGGRTTTGTGTGAAAGTTCAGGACCACCTGAACTCTCTGAAGAACTCTGAGACTGATGCCGTCCTGGAAGACGTTCGATCAGCAGAGAACCTCATTAAAGACGCCAGGAACTCTAAAACTGTAAAAAAAAATGTTTAATGCACAGCTGGCTAATTATATTACATTATATTATTATATGATAAAATCAAATTTTACTTTTGTTCATACTGAGAATAAGTTGCTATCTTATTGTTTGTCTTCTCTCTGTGATCCCAGCTTCTCCCTAATCTTTACCACCTTGGGTCAGCRTCCAGAGAGGAACTGATCAGTTCATCAGTGGGTCCCATCCAGGAAAAACTAGAGTCCATGGCTGGGGAGGTGACCTCTGTCATGGATCAGCAGCTGCAGGTACAAAACTCGGGCTGAAAATTAGTAACTACAGTATATTTAAAAATAAATAAACTGAAACTGTTGAAATGATGTTTTTGTGATCTTGGAGAAACATCTCAGCTGTGACCAATGTTTTTTTTGGTTTTCTTCCCAGACTCTCTTAGAGTCCATGATGGACACAGCTGAGTCTCTGTGTCCCCACGTGATGAAGAGGAGTAATCTTCGTCCGGAGCTGATGAAGGCCAGTTCAGCCAGGATGGCTGTGCCTAAAAGYTTCGTCACAAAAACCCTCCTGGAGCAGTCAGGGGTGGATATTATCAACAAAATCAGGTGTGTCGATTGGCAGCAATGTGGGGTTTTATTTTTTTATAATTATTTCCATTTTATCCTCACACTTTTTTCCTTGTCTTTGTCCTGTGAAAATCACGCTCTTCTTTTTCTCTCTGTCAGTGACGTAAAGCTGAGTCTGGCGTCTTTTCTGTCTGATYGTATAGTTGATGAGATTTTGGAGGCTCTGTCTTCGTCACAACACACTCTGGTAAGACCAGGACAGTCAAAATGATGTATATTCAAAAGTCCAGCATTTAATCAGTCAGTATTTAATTCTGGGGTCATTTGAATGTAAATTGCTCCACAAGCAGTTGTTGTTTGCAACACAAAACTTAGTTTTTGAATGATTTACTATTCTCTACTGGTAATCTTGCTTTCTCGACATTTCATCTTCTCTCTCTCTTCACATCCTTTCTTTCTTCTTGCGTTGCCTCTGCCCTGTTTCTTCTCCTCTCTCGTCCTCTCAGGCGGACCATCTGGTTCGTCGAGGTCGCCCCTTGGTGCAGCAGGAGTCGGTGGATCTAGATGTACCAGAAGAGAAGATTCCTAAGCGGGCGTCGACTGAGATACTGGAGGCAGAGAGGCTGGAGGATCTGGAGTCCTGTATGGTAGGTGTTGATTTGCAACTCTTGTTAACTTGCAGTTCTTCAATTTTTAATTAAGTTTAGTTGTAGTTTTTGGTTGTTGTTTTTTTTCTTGTTAAAAAATGCAACAATTGACTTGGAGCTTATTGAGTGTAGACTTTTTTTTTTAGGTATGTCCGGTGTGAACGTCATTGAAGTTAGGTTTTGATTTTATTGTTGCCTCCTGTAACTTTATTTGCAGAGATAATTACAAGTTGCATTTAATTATATGAACAGCCTTAAAACGTCCATCATGACTTTGTCAATCTCAGTTTTACCCTGTAAAATGAAGTATTCTCAATAATCTGCATTCTGAGTGTGAAGCAGCTGGGCTGAGGATCAGCACCTCCAAATCTGAGTCGATGGTCCTCAGTCGGAAAAGGGTGGATTGCTCTCTCTGGGTTGGGAGTGAGGTTCTGCCTTAAGTGGAGGAATTTAAGTGTCTTTTGTTCACAGTGAGGGCAAATTGGAGCGAGATTGATTGATGGATGGATCTGTGCTGCTTCTGCAGTATTGCAGACTCTGTACTGRTCTGTTGTGATGAAGAAAGAGCTGAGCTGTACCGGTCAGACTACAAGATTGTGGATGCAAGCAGCTGAAATTAGTTTTTGTCYRCAGGGTATCTGGACTCTCCCTTAGAGACAAGGTGAGAGGTTCAGTTRTCCAGGAGAGACACAGAGWAGAGCCACTGCTCCTCCACATCGAGAGGAGCCAGYTGAGGTGGTTCATCTGGTAACGATRCCTCCTGGACGCCTCCCTAGAAAGGTGCTTCCGACATGTCTGRCTGAGAGGAGACCTCAGGGAGGACCCAGGGCAGGAGACACTAATGGCTCTTTTCCACTAGCGCCTCTACAGCACGATTTRGGTGGTTTTCCATTATACTTCAGTAACAGCTCTAGTGGGTGTGTTCATCAAAAAGTTGAGTGGTYGCAGAGTCTGAAAATTGGCGCCACACGCCTTAACAGCTGGTGGCAATTATGCTCCATTAAGCTATTTGCCRGCCACCATTAAACATAGTAGAAGGAGAATACCCTGAAAAGATACACAACACAACAGTGGAGGAAATGGTAGCKTTGTTATTGCAAATGGTGGAATCAGGCTGTTCGACAACCRATCCACCATTACATTGGTCATGCTCTTAATCAACTGTGGCTCTTGTGACACAACAATGACTCCACCCCCTAAACAATCAGTGACCGACAGTCTGGTGTCGYGCTTTCAGGCCAGCATGGCACACTTGGAACCGCAGTGAAGTAGGTAAGAAAAAGGGTCTGGTTCCACGAATCCATGCTAATGGAAAATCCTTGGAACCGTGGAGAGCCAAGTCTAACCGTGCAGAACAGGCACTAGTGGAAAAGGGGAATATGTTTCTTGTTTGGCCTGGGAATGCCTTAGAATTCTCCCAGAAAAGCTGGAAGACGTAACTGGGGGAAGAGAGGTCTGGAACCTCCCTGATCAAGCTGATGATCTTAACAAATTGTCAAACACATAATATTTTTGGAAGTGTTGAACAAAAAATTACTCATTTTATTTGCCACCTTCCTATGTTAGGATGTTTTGAAACAGAAATGTGTTTATAGATCTTGTTCTGTATTTAGTTTGCTGTTGATGTCTGCTTTTACCAAACAGAGTAAGCTTTTTTGCAGAGAAGTGTCAGTTCAGTCACTAACATATAAAGCACAGCCTTCAGTCATTTWGGACTCTTTAGTAGCTATAACCTTTTTATTTTTTTTGCCTTCTTGTTTGATCTTCTGGTTTCCCTCCCTCTCTTATCTTTCACTGCATGACTTTCATTTTCCTCCTCAGGCCTTACTGTGTTTTGTCTTTTTCTCTTCAAACCTTTTCCTCTGTTCCCTCTTGTCTTTTCTACCTTTGCTCCTTGGAGACTTTGTGCTGCACCAGCGTAAGTAATTCTGGACTGTCCCACTTTGTGTTCCTTTCTGGTCACTTTTCTTTTCTCTCACTAGGTTTAGYCTTTTTGCCTCTCTTCACTGTGCTCACTTTTCTACCATCCTCTTTAGCTTCTGTTGCTGCTGTGTTTCATTCTGTTACGTAAACGGTCCAGAAGGTGCACTTCGTTTYGCAAATTGTAACAGGAAACGGTTGTTTATCTTTATTCTGAGTGTCTTTTTTATCTTTATTTTTCTCATTATGTTGATATTTTTGTACCAGATTGCACTGCTCCACACTAATATTGGCACTGTTTGCCATTATTACCATTAATAAACTAATACGCATCAAGAAGCCAGTGGTATAGTGTATGAAGTTTTGCCTAATTCAGTCGTTYATTCAGCAGTTTTACAATTAAATGTTTTTGTACATACCCCAATACCAGGGACTAATACCAAAACAAATATCGATACAGGGTTTGATACTCAATTGAATGTGTTCCAGTTTACATTTCAAATGAAAAGCTCGTCAGTTCCATGTTTGAGAAAGTTATACAAGTTGAAAGAAAATCATATTATTTTTATTTCTTTTCAGCCGCTGTATATTTGAGTTGATCCAAAGGGGCTGTAGGCATATAAGGAAGGAGACCTCTTGTTCTAAATAAAAGAAATATGTATTTAAAAGCCGTACTGTCTAAGATGTATATTTTGATAACATTGTAGACAAAAGTTTAATTATTTGTTGATTTATTTCTTCAGATGACTCCTAAATCCAAAAGGAAAAGCATCCACAGTCGAATGCTGCGCCCCGTGTCTCATGCTTTTGGTAAGATGCTTTCTGTCATTTTAAGTTTTAATTTTTTCTAACTTTGAGATGTATTAATCCTTCTCCAGGTGCAACTTTTTTTGTCTGTCAGTTCAGAAAACAAAACATATGTTTGTTCAATTCATTACAGAGTGAAATGTTTCAAGACTTTATTTCTTGTAGTTTTGATGAATATGGTCWACAAATAATAGAAAAAGTTGTCTGTAATATTCAAATTTTCTGAATTTTGTTTTTTTCATTATTTATGAGCCATAATCATCAAAACTACAAGAAAAAAATACTAATTATTTCACTCTATGCTTTATGAATCTATGTAGTATGAGTTTCCCTTTCTGAACAAAAAAGTACATTTTTTTCTTTATATTCTAATTTTTGAGCTCCAGCTGTGCTTTAAATCAGTGTTTCCCAAAGTTGGGGTCGGGACCCAAAGTGGGGTCCCGAAACATCAAGGTGGGGTCCTGAAAAGATTTTCTGAA